TAATTCAAAAAATAGACTGAATCCAGAATGTAAACTAGATTCTGAATCTAATCGTGCTGTATGATCAGCTGCATGCTGCCTCTGTTAGTCCTCATCCTGAGCGTTCTGTACCTGCACCCTGAAGTCAAAGAGTTCATACTCAGACCAAAGCGGGGTGCAAAGAGTCTGATGAAGTCTTGTTCACATCTAGTAAAACATTTTTTTAAAGCTGATTTTTAAGTTTTTCTGAATCTGAAGTCGTACATTTTAAGAGTAAACTAAGTCTGACCACGAGCAGCCCGATGATGCAATCTGTTTGTGTTGGTCATTGTTTGATGATTCAAAAGTGCACACAGATAAAAAGATAAGCAGTCAGTTTCACATTAATTCACATCTTGAGGTAATGCAGTGATGTTCCAAAAAACAACAGAAGGGTAGAGAAGGGATGCAGCCTCACAACATCTATCAGCATGTAAACAGGTCTCAACAATGTCGGAACAACGAGCCTTGAAAACGTGTTAGGAGAAAAAGGAAATGAGAGGAACACTTTGAATGAGCCTCAGGGGACAATCCACAATACATTCTGCTGTTTACTCAATGTAAACATAGTTTTTTTTGTTTGTTTACAGAGGAAACTCTAGAGGGCACCTTTCAGGAAACAGTGACAAATAATTACAATTTTTGCGTAAATGTTTGCCCTTAAGACTTCATATAAAAAAGCATCAATACAGATATGGCTGCACATCATCATGTCGTGCATTTTTTTGTGCACATGTATAGTTCATTCCACTTCACAAATAAAATAAGTATGGTTGTTTACTTCACACTCTGAACAGTATAATTAGCTTTTTTTATATATTGCATAATAAGGAGCTACAAGTTGCTCTGTGAGGGGAAAGAGAGAAGAAAGCTTCCCTCAGGCGTATTAGCATGTCTTCTCAATCACTGTATACTCGGATCATTTGACGGGACTCTATTTGCATGCAAATTCGTTGCATAGTGGGAAGGTCGTATCGTAAACAAGGTTATTTATCACTCTCATACACGGGTCTCTAATAGGATGAAGTTACTCCCTCTTTTAGGTTGAGTATTGTACTGTCAGTAAGACTCACAAAGAAGAAGCAGGCCTCCTCTCCTCTGTACCTTTAGGTGGCATGTGCAGACTCTGAGTGAAAAAAAAGGAGATGCTGTTTGTTTTGGAAGGCGCTGAAGTGCAGTTGAGCGCCGGGTTCACCGCAATGTTTCAAAGTTGTGTTAACATTTAAAAGCAGCCAGGGGAGCTGTGCCGAGCTCTTAAAAATAACCAATTCTCATCTCTGCCGCTGACACTCCTGACCTTGGGCCATTATCGTCGCGGCACACTCAGACGAGGCTTGGCGTGCACAATCTGTACTACGGAGCCGGCACAATGCACAAACAAAGAAAAGAGGCGGGGGGGGGTCAGCCAGCACGCGCTCACATTGAAAGCATGTGTGAGAGCAAATGCAAACACAATCTTTGTCTCTCTGAAGACAGAACAAAAAGCTCTTTCTCACTCGATATAAACACACTCATGCTGTATATACAAACAAAACAAAGACGAGGCAAACTAAAAAGGCCTCCTAAATAATGCATGACATGTTATACCGGAACCTTTTGCCATTCTCCACTGTCCACAACTACTGAACTCAGGCAGAGAAATGGGAACTGCTGGGAGGTTTTGTGTGTGAGAGCTTGGCTTCATCGACCCCAAAGCTGATATTTGCACACAGCTTTAATGTCATCTTTATGTCTGATTCCAGGAGAGAGAGAGAGAGAGAGAGAGAGCGAGAGAATCTAAGCCTGGACTCAAAAAATAATCTATGATCATCAAAGGTCAGGTGTGTGTCAGTGTTAAGGGAGAGTGTGTGTGTTGTCCTTCTCATGCACCAGTACAGAAATGCTGCACGAGGTAAGACATGGCGTAAAAAAAATTAAAAAAGACGCTGAGGAAATCCAGGATGGCCGACGAAGTTCAGCACTTTGACAGTTGTTTGTCTTTTTATTTTAACTGCTTTGTGTAACAGGAAGACGTATCCAACGCTTCAAGGAATGAGTGGAAAAGCAGAATATAGATCTGTATGCAGCAGCTTCATGACCTGTGAGGCGATCGCACAGGTCATCTTTGATATAAACATCATCGACCCTACCTGATGGCTTGCGGGCATCACACAGCAGCTCAACCCGATTTCACACAGAAATTACACTATGGGGCTAAGAGTAAAAAAAAGATTTGTTAAGTTGAAATTAATTTCAACACCACTAGAAGACGGCATATTTTTTTTTGCATCTTTTGACTGCACACTGTATATCCTCTGAAAATAACTCTGTGAGTCATGACTGTCTACAATGGGTGTAACACCCGAGTCCCACTGTCTGTGATGTTTTCAGAGTTTTCAGAGTCCTATCTTCAGTTTGTTTACATCGCCAGGACGGCCGGCTGACTCCTCCCCTCGTGTATAAAAGTTGTTTAATTGAGGGACTAGAGAAAAGAAGAATAACATACTGTACTCACTGCTTAACTGTGTTTCTAGATCACGCTCATTTCAGGTAAATTTACATGCAGTGTGAAGATACCAGCATAATAAAGATCGCTAGCATTAGCATGCTAACACAACAATGCACCGCAAGTTGTTTTGGTTTCACGCTGGTGCTCAAGGGCGACATCTACTGGATCAAAAAATCACATATAAAGCCTTTAAAAATGAGACTCAAAGAATTAGACTCAAACACTACACGCACATCCCTGTGTATGTGCTGGATCCAAACAATACAAACTAAATAAATCAAAACAAGATCTGCACACTAAGAAGCTCCCGTTTGAAGGATTTATTAACAAGTGGCGCTCCGAGCCAACATGCTCTTCCTCAAACTAAGTGCCTGATCCACAATCAGACTTCTTTTTATTCCTGTTGTAGGACTTGTGTTTGGTTTCTGTTGGAGAGAGCATCTTTTATCTTTTATGCATCTCTGAGCTTAAAGTCACCCTTTCTCTCTGAGCCATGACTCAGGATTTAATCTTTCAACAACAAACGTCACAGTTTGACTGACAACATGGCGTGCCAGTCTGAAGAAAAAAAAACACTGCTCTGCTCCGCGCTCTAAAAGTGTCAGAAAGCAGCCTCTCTAACAGAACAGAAAACATATCTGACAGTGGATAGAACCTGAAACACTTCTTAGGTCTGTTTGATGTCGGACCCCCTTGATACAATTTAATAAGTAGAAACCTCACACACGAGATATGTCAAACGATAATCTCTTTCTCCCTTCACATTAAAAACACCATCTCGTACTGCTTTGCTCCGGTCAGATGTTTGTAGCCCATGATAAGTTATTTCCATTTTATTTTTGGCATTTTTCCAAATATTTCACGCTGCATTGGGATCGGGATCCCACAGGACCCAACACAAATCTCCTGAGGCCCGCAGGTGGTTTTAACATCGCTGTGGGGCGATGACAGTAGGTGGTCAAAATGTAGCTTACGCGAACAACAACGGAATTTACTAGCTATATGTAAAGAAGATAAAAGCTAAGCTAAGACAACGCAAGGCGAGTCTGACATGTGGACAAACTATAATTGGTTTTCAAATTTCAATTATGACTGACAAAGATGGAGGAAAAGACCCCAAGCTACAATTCTACAATTCACTTAGCAGACGCTTTTATCCAAAGTGACGTACATCAGAGAGTAAGAACAACACAAGCAAGGATCTAGAAAAAAGGGAACAATGTGAGTAAGAGCAAACGATCAGCTTTGAGTCTGATTGGACACACAGGTGCTGACAGGAAGTGACCAGAGGCAAAGCACAACATTGAGGGCAGTTCTTGAGAGCTCTAATCAGTATAGAAACCATCTTATAAGTCATCGTTATCAAACAAAAACCATCGTCACAACCATCATCATCATCATCATCATCAATAATATGGAGACCATCATCATTAAGTTAGTAGGTATTCATGAAAGAGCTGGGTCTTTAGCTTTTTCTTAAAGGTACAGAGGGACTCTGCAGATCCAATGGAGTTTGGAAGTTCATTCCACCACCAGGGGGCGACAGAGGAGAAGAGTCTAGTCAGAGACTTAGGACCCTGTTGTGAAGGTTGGATCAGACGCCTTTCATTGGCAGAGCGTAGGGGGGGGGGGTGTAGACCTGATGTGAGAGTTAAAGTGAGGAGGAGACGTTTCTGTGTCTGTTTTGTCAGCGAGCAGCAGAGTTTTAAATTTGATGCGAGCAGTAACTGGGAGCCGGTGTGAGGAGATTAGCTATTGTCAATCAGCACTAAGGTACTCAGCCTGGTCTCCAATGTAGCAACGATTTAGTGAGCGAGACAAACAATATCCAGATCTGATGGAGCCCTCATGCTCTGCCTCTCTGGAGCATCAGTGGCCCGCCGTTGGAGGGATGGGCAGATGTCCTTGGATTGTGAATAAAGACTGTTGACAAGTGATTTCCTCTAAGGCTGCAGAAATCTAAGTGCATACATCTAAGTGCATCACTAGAATCCTAAACAGAGTTCGGCAAAAGGAAATGCAGTTGTTGTTGATAGCATCTCCCGCCCAGCCGCACATTACCTTTTAAAACACACAAACTCGATCATAGAACAATAAAGTTTATCATGCGTAGCCTCCTAATTTTTGTTTTCTATAAACCCTCTTTTTTACAACCTGAATGGTTGTTATCCCAGTAATGGAAAGTCGCCGGGTTAATGATGGAGATTAAATAACTAATCTGTAATGAATTTCATACCTAATTATTAATTCTTATCTTTAATATGATATTGTTTTTCCTCCAGCTCAGGAAGTTTTGATTTAAGATGTCTGCAAGGCTTGAGGATCTCAGAGGTCAACTGAAGCTTTAAAATCTTGAATAACATAATTTAAGGTGTGATAAACTTTCATGATTACTTTTCCTCAAACATCTCACTTACTTGTTTTAACACCGCTGGATGGAAATCAAATCTGAAGTCCTTACAGTGTTGTGCAATGCAAATAAAGAACACACTACCTTGTTGACCTCCAGGATTTCTCTCCTCTCTTCAGTGGCCGGGCGGCTCTGGCCGGCTGAGCGGTCCTCGTGTTTGGAGCTGTCGTCCTCCACAAAGGGTATCAGCAGCTGGAGGGGACAGCAAACAGAAAATAGATTACATCATTTACTGTAAGAGGATCATTTCCACAATGGATGACATATTCCAGTGTTTAGGATTGTGCACCCCTTACAGCAAAAACAGGATCTGCACTGGAAGGTAAAACATCATTTTTTTATTTATTTTTTTATTTAAAAAGGTGCAATGAGGAGTCTTAAGCTTGACTGAAAGGAAAATAGATGCCTTTTCATAAGACCATCAACTAGAAGATTGATATATGTGTTTATAGTGATTTTAATATAATATTAGAGCCTGACCGATTTATCAGCCAGCCGATAACATCGGCCGATATTAGCATAGCAAGTGACTATCAGTATTGGCTAACTTCATCACAGAAATGCGCCAGTATTACTAGATTTATTCACCAGTCAAATAGCATTTGATTTGAGTGTCATTGTATTACACGAGCAGTTCTTTCCAGGGTGTCAAACGGTGATGCAGGTAAAGTACGCGCAGTTACTTTCCAGTTGAGCGACCATCTTGTCTTTGTTATATATCTCTTCTCTCTTCTCTCTGATGAACGTCTTAGGATGAAAGTGTCTGCTAAATAAATTGTAACATATATCTTTTCCACAAGTGCTTGATAACTGCATTTGAGGGATTAACACAATGAATGTTTATATCTATATCTTCACAGATTTAAGAAATGTATCGGCCCAAATATCAGTATCAGATTTTTTTCCTCCCCAATTTCGATATCGGTATCAGCCCAAAAAAAATCCCCTATAAGTCAGGCCCTGGCAAACAATCAATATGACTGTTACATATACCTGTTAAAGACAGCATTCCTAAATACTTCAATAAGAATTAAGATTTGACGCTTTGTGTAGCTTTGGGGTCGCCGAGTTTGTCACAACTTCCAAACAGTGGCTTAAAAAATGTTTTAAGTGAAGTTTTCTTGAATAACACGCACCCTGATGCATTCTCTTGATCTTCTTTTTTCTTACTCTCTCCATTGTCCAAATATTCTATTCAATAAACTGAATAAAACCCACAGTGAAAGAACAACATTCTGAAGTTAGAGGACGTTTTCTGTGCAGATTCTTGTGATTGAAAAGGTGTCTTGTTTTTTTGTTTTATTGAATGAATTCAACCGTGCAATCGGTTATTTTGGCCAAATGATTTTGTTAATCAAAAAAATATGTGATTTACTTTCCTGTTTTGGAGCAGCACATTAAAAAGGTCAGTGCTACCTATGCATTTTTTTCCCTGTATTTCCCCTCGAGTGTAGTTATAGGTCAGAAGTAATATTCTCTGCGTAATCTCTCGACCTATGAGGGCCATCCTCTGCTCAAGATCTCCCCGTGCTGCCTCATAGTCTTGCTGCCATGAAGTGGTGAAAATGAGGCTTCTTTGTGAGCTCTCCAATGCTGGCTGAGTCTCACTCCAACATAAAGAGAGAGAGAGAGAGAGAGAGAGAGAGAGAGACAGAAAGCAAGTGGGAGATTAATTCATTTTTCAACGCTCTGTGTGCTTGACCTTGTCTGCTTGACACGACAGTAAGGCTGACGTGCAGGGAGCCTTCAGGCGAGGCGGCGTTCCTGAGAGCCGACAGGGTGAGAGGCTGACTCCTTTTGCATCGCACTGCCCCCTAGTGGTCACGTCAGAGAGGAGGGCGAGGAGGAGACTCACTGCAGCAGTCACACACATCAAAATAATGTGAGAACAAAGTGTTCCTCGTGCGAGGCACAAACGGACATAAGGAGAAAGTGTGATGGATGATCTGTGCAGAGCTGCTGAATAGAACTGAATTCTGCCGATAACTAGAGTGTAATGCAGTCAAATATCTGAGCCATTGTGCAGGTTTTCCAAGAATTGCAGAGTATTAGTTATGATGACATATAGTCAATTCTATAGTTTCACACTCACAAAAAAAAGTCAACACAACAATTTTTTTTTTTTGCTCCATTTTCTGACAGAGGATAAAACTTTTAATGTGCCTAAAAGATAATCTACAGTACTTTATTACACTGGAAGCAAAGAGTCCAAGTTAAAACTAACAAAAAAAACAAAAGCTCCAAGGTTTCCTTTCCAAAACAAAAGCCGTCATACCAGACAAGATGAAAAACACAGATTAAAAAGGTAAGAGACTCTCCAAACAGCAAGGCGCCAATGAAAACTGCTGCACAGCCACAAAACACACCTTGCTCCAATATCAACTTGGCAAGGGGGAATCTAAATCATGCAAAAAGTTTTTGGGGGATTATTGAGTTTGACTACTCTGTTGACCCGAGGCTATGCAGCTGCAGCGGACAGCATGTGGACGCTAGACAAGTGATTGGCGAAATCAGCAGTCTGGAAGAAATGAGTGACTGATATTTGGGTAGGGCTGGAGCAGGCAGACCTCGAGTTTAACGAGAAAGAAGAAAAAAAGAAAATCAAAAGCAGACGGGAGGGAGGGAAATGTAGACAGACTGATGAAGAGAGAGGAGAGGACAGCGAGACAAAAATGTAAGAGAGTCAGAGTGAATGATGTCAGGTTAAAGTGTGCGGCGTGATGGGGGAGGACGGGAAGAAAATGAAATGAAGAAAAAAAGGGGGATGAAAAAAATGTCAGAGACACAAAAGAGAGGCGAAGAAAGGGACAGAAAGATGTAAAAAATCTGGATAACTGTCTCAGCTGCTGACAGTTTCCATGCCAAACTATAAACTCTGACAGTTGGACGGGGAAAGACAGTACGGACATGTGCACAATATTATAAATCAGACAGAGTATATGCTCGTCTGAGGCTCGAGAAGTTGGGAAAAAGTTTTTTCATGAGATAATTTCCGACCGAGCCAATGACATATCGAATGTTAAAAGGTAGTGGGGCTGCTTCTGGCAGCTTCAGGGTGGAAAATGAAATGTGCTGAGTAGTGTGGGAAAGATGGATGGGCAGTGTATTGTGTGTGTGTGTGTGTGTGTGTGTGTGTGTGTGTGTGTGTGTGTGTGTTGTGTGTGAGTTGGTGCGTCATAACCCTGGCCTCTCACACAGAAAGATGGATGTGGTTTCCTGTCTGACAAAGAAAAATGGGCTAATGAAGTTCTCCAGGTTGCCTTGCTGAGACAAAAGGAAGAGAAAGGCAGAGGAGACGGAGTGAAAGAAATCACAAACTAATAAGAAAACAGCGAGGTGAATGTGTAAGAGGAAGAGGGAAATGAAACATTTTGGCTGCTCGGTGCAGGAAATGACAAGAAGGAGTGAATTACACGATGGAAGAAAAGTGGAATAGAGCAAAAACAGGACAGAAACAGATTAACACAAAGCTAATGTGAGCAAGTACACTTAAAGTAAGGAAGGAGGGAAGGAAGGAATGACATAAGAAAGGAAGGAAGGATGTAAGAAAAGAAGGGAGGAAGGAAGAAAAGAAGTGAGGGAGGAAGGAAGGAAGGAAAAAAGGAAAAAAGGAAGGGAGTGAGGGAGGATAGAAGGAAGGAAGGAAAAAAAGGGAAGAAGGGAGTGAGGAAGGATGGAATGAAGGAAGGAAGGAAGGAAGAAAAAAGAAGGGAGGAAGGGAGTGAGGGAGGATGGAAGGAAAGAAGGAAGGAAAAAAAGAAGGGAGTGAGAGAGGATGGAAGGAAGGAAGGAAGGAAAAAAGGAAGGAGAAGGAAGGACGTACGAAAAGAAGGGAGGAAGGAAGAAAGGGAGTGAGGGAGGAAGGAAGGAAGGGAGGATGGAAGGAAGGAAGGAGGTCAGAAAAGAAGGGAGGAAGGAAGAAAGGGAGGAAGGAAGGAAGGAAAAAAGGAAGAAGGAAGGAAGGATTTAAGAAAAGAAGGGAGGAAGGAAGAAAGGGAGTGAGGGAGGAAGGAAGGAAGGAAGGAAGACAGTGAGAGAGAAAAAACAATGAAAGAATTTTTAAGGTCAGAGGAGGTAAAATAGGAAAGAAAGACAGAAAAACAGAAAGAAGTGAAAAAGCGACTTTGGTGTAAAAATGTGAACCTAACGACCGTTGGACAGAAAACGAGGCGAGTGCTGACGTGTGCGTTTGCTCCAGCTGTTCATTAAACGCCTCTGTTGCTAATTAGGCTGCGATGAGGTCATGCTGCCCGAGTCATTGATTCCACTTCCTGTTTCGGGGCAGGCCAATAGTCAGCGGCTGTCAGGCGAGCACCTGAATTCTCAGAGATGATAAATGGCGTGCTCGCTGGGGCCAAAAATCAACAACCTCTCTCAGCCCCACCAGTACAAACATGGCGAGCTGAGCTATTGGCTGCTCGGCCGGCACTGGTTTACAGCCTGGAGGGGGAACGAATAAACATTTAAATAAGAGGGAGAAAAATAAGCTAGATGGTGTAATGATTCAAAGAGGGTTTACACCATTAGAGCGAAGTGAAGCCCCTCATAGACGGTGAATTAGGGGCGGAACCACAGACGGTGGTGATTTTTAAACCAGTGGATAGATCATTTTGAAATGCTTCCGAGTGGCTTTATTATTCAATGCCAAAAATTGTACACGGTGGCAGCCATCGCAAATTTGTTCCAATTTAAGAGCGGTCTCCTCCCACATCCTCCTTTATCCTCAGCAGGAGTCTGGAGAGAGAGATTAGCTCCGAGCCAATCTGTAGAAATTGGGAAGGGACTGCCGCAGTCATAAATCCAATCAAACAGCGGTGGATAGCCTGGCTGTAGCGCGGCATGGCGCTAACAGGGCAAAGTGTGTGTGTGTGTGACAAGTTACAAAGCACTGCATGCAAGTCTGTGTTGTGTATGCTTAGGAAGGAAGGAAGGAAGGAAGGAAGGAAAAGAAGGAAGGATGTAAGAAAAGAAGGGAGGAAGGAAGAAAGGATGGAAAAAAGGAAGGAAGGATGTAAGAAAAGAAGGAAGGAAGGAAGAAAGGGAGTGAGGGAGGAAGGAAGGAAAAAAAGGAAGGAGAAGGAAGGAAGGATGTAAGAAAAGAAGGGAGGAAGGAAGAAAGGGAGTGAGGAAGGAAGGAAAAAAAGGAAAGAGAAGGAAGGAAGGACTTAAGAAAAGAAGGGAGGGAGGAAGGAAAGAAGGAAGGAAAAAAAGGAAGGAGAAGGAAGGAAGGATGTAAGAAAAGAAGGGAGGAAGGAAAGAAGGAAGGAAGGAGAAAAAGGAAGGAGAAGGCACACATTTATTATCATGTGTGCGTGTGTGTGTGTGTGTGTGTGTGTGTGTGTGTGTGTGAAGGTGGATGGTGACTGTAACCAGTAAAGAGACTCGAGAGACTCACCTGAAGCGACCAATGAATCTGCTGTGAGCGCAAAAAGGACGGACCTCGAGGGAGCAGGTGAGATAAGAGTCCACCAGGGGTAAAGAAGTGTGTGTAAGTGTGTGTGTGTGTGCGTGTGTGTGTGTGTGTGTGTATGGCACTGGAAGACGGCTGGTTAAAGGGGCGTGGCTACAATGGCCTACTTCCTTGACACTAACAGCTTCATATTGTAGCAGACGGTTTGTTTGAAACGCTGGATGTGTTGTAATAAACAACGACTGTAAGAACACACACAAAAAATCATGACAAGCATATTTAACATGTGTTGCATCAACCGGAAGAACAATCAGCCGAGTTGATGTAACACCAGAGGAAGGTGCATGTGAGGCAACGTGTCCCTCTACTGTAAGTGAGTCAAATATAAATTTAATCTTTTTAACACAATTAACTTCTTATAAAAATGTTTGCCCGCCTGTTGTTGTTTCCCCTGCGCCTGTGTCTTGTTCCCTGTCAGGTTTATTTATTGATTCTGTCTGTGCTTGTTAGTTTGTTATCTCAACCGGGCATAAGCCGGGAGGGGATCATGTGTACAGTCTTCTTTGTGAGGGAGGGGGAGGGGTTTGTGTGTGCATCTTGTATACTACATTACCCATCAGCCTGATATTTGTATGAACATTTACGCCTGTATGCTAAAAAAAAAAGAAGAAAAATCCAGGTTGTTGTGATTCCTGAGATACAGTCTGTGCAAAAGATAGTAGATGCTAGATGAGGAAAGAAAACCAGCTGCTCTTTGTGTGGGAGGGGAGAGGGAGGTAGGGAACAACAACATGCCTGCACACAAACCTGCCAGAGATCTGCTGCCAGGTCATCTATTTGTTCTGCTGAGCGCTGAGCAAGACAATGCTGTAAAATCAAATGCACGATTGAGGGACCGACCCTGTTGAGATTACATTTAAACACAATTATTAGTCCGTCAAATTATCATTTATTTTCAGGCAATCATCTAAAGCTTACATACAGAAATATTGATGTGCTTATTTATCATTGTCCCGAGTCGTGTAATATAATTATCAAATCGCTGGAGTCAAATAGTGATACTTTAAATCAACAAAAGCACTCTAAACAGAATTCCCTGAAGTTTGACTTCAGCTGTCATTACTCCATGACGCCTCACGGTGGCGCTTATGACATAAATGAGTGTACAGTGAACATACAGTATGTTTTAGGGGCCGAAGAAGAAGTTGATAAGAAGATAAAAGAAGAAGAAGACAGCCGTGTAATGTGTGACATCGGTGAAAAGAAAGTTAAGTGATGAAGCGTGGAAAACGGGGAAACTTGCATGGAATAAATATATTAATTGTGAACTCTTCATATTCTTCAGTTAAAGCCTTTACACACTGTGTCATTCAGGGTCGACATGACAGTAGCTTTGTGTTACCTGCCAAAGGTTTTGGGATCAAAATGGAAGGCTGCTCTGAATTTTATTTTCTTATTTTCTTTCTCTACCCCTCCAAAGTAAAAGCTTCCTGTGTTCTTTTGTAAATAATTGAAGGAAGGAAGGATGTAAGAAAAGAAGTGAGGAAGGAAGAAAGGGAGTGAGGGAGGTAGGAAGGAAGGAAAAAAAGGAAGGAGAAGGAAGGAAGGATGTAAGAGAAGAAGGGAGGAAGGAAGGAAAAAAAGGAAGGAGAAGGAAGGAAGGATGTAAGAAAAGAAGGGAGGGAGGAAGAAAGGGAGGAAGGAAGGAAGGATGTAAGAGAAGAAGGGAGGAAGGAAGAAAGGGAGGAAGGAAAAAAGGAAGGAGGAGGAAGGAAGAAAGGGAGTGAGGGAGGAAGGAAGGAAGGAAGGAATTAATGTCATGTTACTTGAATATAAAAAAAGAGTTAAATTGTAAATAAAATAAATAAATAAATAAAAATGGAAGGCTGATTGTTTTGAACTTGCATGCTGGATGCTGGTTTGTGCTGCCGCTTCAATCTTTCTCCAGACAGTTTAATTAGACTAATCGTATAATAACTTATGAAGGTGTGAGGTTAGAGTGCACAAACAAAACAAACAACCTGAATGAAAAGCTGTCACACTTCATGTTAAATCACCAGCTACATTACTGCCCTACTTTCAGACACATCTTGCTTTATTTCCCAGATCAGCACCTCCTCTACCCTGATGTGTACGTCTGTCTGTACGTCACATCCAGGGAGTGTTACAGCAGCACCACTCAGAGACGAGAACACAAGACATGATGTTGATCCAATGCTACCGCTAATACGGCGACAAAGGTTGTATAAACTTTATGAGCAAACTAATAACATGTCAGTCATAACCACACACCTGTTCTCACATAGAAATGTCTACCCAACACACAGTGGAGATTCTAGAGTCTGGTGGGGCCCTCCACGACAATCAATTGGGGGCCCCTCCAACCAGCGTTCATCACCATCATGTCTGCCAGTGTCCCCGACGATTACTCCTCTTTCTCTTTTTTCCTGATTCTTTTTTTCTCTCCTATTAGACGGAGAATTCCTCTTCATCTTTCTGTGTTGACTTTCATTTACAAACTTTGGTTTTCACAACAATGATGCATGCAATTTTTTTATTTAACACGGACAGTAATAATGTTGCAACATTTTGTAATTAAAGTTTTTGGTTTTTTATTTTGTATTATTATATTTTACTTCCCCCTTATTTTATAATTTTTATTTACATTTTTTTTCTTCTCCTTTAGTATTTATTCAATTGTAATTGTGTGTCTTTTAAAAATGTTTAAAACTTAATAAACATATTGTTAAAAAAAAAAATAATAATAATGCATGCAATTTTTTATTTAACACGGACAGTAATAATGTTGCAACATTTTGTAATTAATTTTTAGTTTTTGTTTTTTTATTTTTATTTTGTATTATTATATTTTACTTCCCCCCCTTATTTAAATTTTAAATTTTTTATATATATATTTTATTTTCCTTTAGAATTTATTTAATTGTAATTGTGTGTCTTGGAAAAATGTTTAAAACTTCATAAACATATAAAATAAATAAAATAAAAAAATAATGCATGCAATGCCTTTCACGGCAAGTGCTGTCAGATGGGGCCCCCCAAGGGAGTTTGCAAAATTTGCACATTTTCAGGCCACTGCTTTGGTTTATGGTTTTTCAGTCCTCAGGGGCGCCCCCTACTGGTCTGGGAGGATGAGGATATTTTGTGTTGCTGCTGTCACAGTGTAAGAGCGTCTCACCTCTGGAGGTATGGAGTCCAGCCCGGCACAGTTTTCATTGCACTTGTCGTAGACGAGGCGCAGCTTTCGGAACAACACAGAAAGCATGCGTAGGTGCTCCTGGAGTTTCCCCAGCCTGTCCTGGTGGGTGTTTGGGTGGTAAGTGACTCCGTTAGGCAGCTGAGACGCAACAAAGAGGAGACATTGTGTCAAACAGAAGAACAAGCCTTTTACAGTTTTCCTAATGCTAATAAGAAGCTACAGGCATTGATCCCCCCACTGAGCGCCGCAAGCCGATACCAACCCTCTGTTGTTTCAGGAAGATGCTAAATGTATTTACAGTAATACAGCATAGTTTCCTTTCTACTTCACTGTGAGAGCAACTTGACTTTAATTAAACCTTAATGTGTTGGCATGTTTGTGTTTGTGCATCATTGTAGTAAAACATCTTGACAAAATAATAAAAATCACACTTTAAAAATGAAAGGTTAACAGCCTCAGCTGCTGCACTTAGTGGGTTTTTTTTCCCCCACTCACTTCCATACCGATTCAGCATCACTGGCTTTTAACTACAAGGGGTGTTAAAGAGCAACAAGACTTGGTTTTTATTGAGAGGATCGACAAGCCTCTGGGGGCAGCACTGTCTGATTATAAACATCGTACATAAGATGAATCGAGCGTGCCTTCAGGGCAGGCGAAGTGAAGGAGAGAAGAGAAACAGGTGGGAGACAGAGAGGGGGGGGGTAAGATAAATGAAGATTTTTTTATGAGTATAAAGGAAGGCTGTGAAAAAGAAGAAGAGAAAAACAAGTCACAACAACGCTGTTTGTGCATTCTGTGGCTGAGGTGTGTTTGTTTGGCGGTCTCAGAGCGTCTCAGAGGAGCAGGCAGACATCCATGATAAACTCACCCTGACCCTGCCTCCAGGATACAATCAGAGCCGAACAAGGAGTGGGAAACGAAGGGTTACTCATCATTCGGAAACATTATGAAACGATCCCAAACCAAACGATACGAGAAGATAAACGATAAAAAAAACGATGCAATACCTAAGTATATGCATACTCAACAAAAAACAACTCAAACAAAAATCATTTTGCCATTTCTTGCAGGACTACAAGTTTCTGACTCGTAACTAATCCAATTCATACACCCCACACAAAGCAGCAGGAGCAATTCAGACTTAAGTGTCCTGCCTTGCTGCAAGAGCTGGGGATTGAACCCTCGACCTTCTGCTTGAGAGACGACCGACTCTACCAACTGAGCCACCACAACTTCAGTATAGACTGATAACAAACACTCCTCAGATCCTGAGTTTATAGATTGAGGAGGATCCATCTAAATGTATTCATGTATCATGTTATGTTTCATTTATATCTTTTTGTTTTCTTGATTGCATATGTCACTATGTGCATCTACCTCTGATGATTTTGTGTGGGTGCTGTGGCTTTGCGGGAAGGATACGTGGGCGGATGGGTGTTTGAGAGCCTTTATGTTTATGTGTGTATTTTGTGCTTGACTGTCTGTATCACACTGTACTGTTGTGTTGTTGTTTTTGTGTTGGACCCCCTCAAAAACGAGATGGTTCATCTGAAGGGGCGATCCATCAAATAAACACAATTTCTCACCATATCCATAACGACTGCAGGCCCACAAAGTATTATGTAGAAACTAAAAATGTTGATCAAAAAGTTTGCAACATTTAAAAAAAACTCTTTCCGTATTCCTATCGACAAAAAAAGAAAGAATTTCCCTCTTCAACACACAGAAATCTCTAAAAAGTAAAACCTTAGCATTGCTTTTGTTGGATTTCTTTTCATAAACACTCTGACAGTCAAAACGTCACTGTTGGGAATATGCTTTTCTTTTTTTTTTTTTCCACTGCTTGGCAAGCAAACCCATGTTTACTGTCAAACTTTGCTTTAACAATCTGGCCACACATAAAAGTTGCTTTGCAGAGACGGGATTGCATTGTTTAGCTTGCCAAAAGAAAATGTAGGACTAACACCACTCGGACGTCTTTTTCCCTCCACATGTAGTGTTTGTGTGGTCGGCTGAGACACCTCCCTGTTCACACCTGTGTGTTTATCATGAAGCTCACACAGGTGTTAGTGTTAGTTAGATGTTAGTTTAAACATCGCTTCTGTTAATATTTAGAAGAGCTCTGTGCACAGAGAGAGAAGGGGTCAGATATGTTTTCACAGGCTGGCTGAGAAAACAAAATCGTTCCAATAACTTATAAAGCATGCACAGGCTATTCAAACTGTTTGGATTCTTTCACAAACATTGGAGCACTGTCACCGCGACAACCAAAACATCCTCATGATTAACACTACAAAAGGGCATGTCGTCAAATCCAACACAGGAGAACAAATGTTGAGTAATCAGACCATAAGATCTTGTTGGTTGTTTACACTTTTTCGTTTCATATTTGATTTATTTGCTCATTTCAGTGTTTGGTTTCAACACCATAATACACAACAAAAAAAGATTTTCTCATAATGCTGAAACGCTGTTCATGAGAGGAAAACTTATAATACCTGCCCCCCCTTTTCCTAATAACACAAGAGACTGTTTAACAGAATAAGAGGGCTAACCTGTTGTTTTCTCTTTCTTTCACAAAACAAAAAATAGATCAAAAATATAGAAACATCAAATACAATCAGTTAGATTAACTCAATACATTCATCATTTCCCAGAACCTTTTCTTTATACATTCTTTTAAATTGAATGATACTTGAGCAGCATTTTAAATGAGTATCGAGAGAATTCCATAATTTAACTGAGATACACATTTTGTTTTAATGTAGTGCGTGCAAATGTTCTTTTAATAGCACTGTCCACTTGTGATCTGATCGCCCAAAAGTGTTTGAAAATCAAGCGTTAGCAGGTTTGAGGTTTTTTTTTTTTTATCTTAGTGGTCTAAGCTTTGAGAAATACATGAATGATCCAGAAAATGAAACCTTCTTTGATATCTTTACACCAAAGTCCATTTGGATCTTCTGCCTAAACGCTCTAGCATGCTTCATACACTGGTAGCTGAGATTTTCACCCCGCTTCAGGTGAACAAAACTCTGCAGGGAGTCTACTGACTGAGACCAAACTACACTTCCTCTTCTTCCATGCACTAGTTGCACATTACTATTAGAATTCTTATGTTGCTAAATGGCTTTTTTTTTAATGTCCTGTTTAAAAATAGAAAGATTTTAAACTAAAATCAAAGGGTTGGCACACTCTAGCTGCCCGTCTGTTATTGAAATTTTCATCAAAACACATTTTATGAATGTATTTTGACTAATGTATGGCCCATGTTACCTTTTTTCTTTTCTTTCCTTTTTTATTCCCTTCTTTTCTTTTGTCTTGTTTTATTCTGAAAATATCAATAAAAAGAAAGTATCAAAAAAAAAACACATTTTATGAAGAAACGCCTTCCTGCAGCTTCCTGGTGCTCTGTCACGCCCCGACAGAACTATTATTACTATTTCAGTTTATTCTCCTATGATCTTGTATGCTGTTTTTTCATTGGTGTTGATCAGTGAACTATGCAGGGGAGAAAATAAAAAAGACAGGAGGAGACGCAAACAGAAAATGTGGACATTGAGTGAAACCATATTTGACATGGCATGTGAGCAAAGAGACAAAGAGAACGAGACGTACCTGCATGTTCCTGAGGAGCTGGAAGATCTCCATCGTCCTGAGAACAATGTCCTGGACCGTCTCCTGGCCGATGCGGCACAGCGAGGCCGTGTTGACATCACGGGCTGCCTGGGCCTGCTGCTGCTGCTGCAGGGGTGCAGGCTGACCGCCGTAGGGTGGGACAAGTGGAGGGGTTGTCATGACGACGGTGGGGCGAGAATGCTAGAGGATGGATGGATGGATGGATGGATGGAAAAGGCTATAGGTGCAAGGTCCAGGTAAAGTCACCTGTCAGGCTTTTCCCACAGCAGCACACCCTCACATGCCTTCATGAAGAGAATCACAGGATGAGGAGAGGGGGGAAAAAAGTTAGCAGTCATATGAACTTAAAAATGAACTTTCACAAGTCAGTCACAGCACTACGTTTACTAAACTTCAACACCATTTTGCAGCAAGGAAATGCAGAAGAGTTGTCTAAAAGCTTCACAGCTGTAACAAGTAGATGAAGCTCCAAAGATTAAACACAGATGAAGTGTTTGAAGCTAACGCTACAGCCTCTTGTGTTATTTGTACTCCGGGTTTCTTCACAGTTAAACAGGCCTTTAAATCATTACAAGTCTGTTGGATGCAAACCTTTAAATTTAAAGACAGCAACCCAGAGGATTCAGTCTGATAACGGGTTGAATTAGCGAACATGTGAAGGTGGATTGTCACTAAAGCTAAGTGGACAGCCATAACGGCGCCACAATTCACCTTTCTCCCGGTGTCGTTTCGTTAACTCGGCGCAAAGTGAAGCTTAAAACATCAGTGAGTGTTCATATATATTTAAAACTCTCGAAACGACGTCTAATGTTACCTGTGCGGTGATAATTTGTCTGTTTTGTTGACATGTCAAGTTTCCTGCTCTGCTCCTAGAAGCTCCCCTGCTGCACTATCGCGAGATTTAGAATTGAAAGCGCACCATGCTGCACCTATCGCGAGATTTAGAATTGAAAGTACGGTAAATGATAGAGTAGACGTACCACAAAAAGATATGTTGAAGTTATTAATATGATTTTTTTTTTTTTAAAAGGAAGAAGATATTACAATCGCAAAAAAAAAAAAAATGTGTATCTGTTTGGATTAAATTCAATCTAGATTTATAATTTAAATTCACACTGTTGGACAAAATGTTTCAAAATGAATGACAGCATTACGGTAGAAGAAGGTGCACTGCAGATTTCCAAGGGCTACTTGGGGCAACAGCGCTATCTGCTGGTTTATAACAGCCAAGTCATATACGTCTGACTTCATCAGCCCTGAGGCTTATTTACGCCACATCATTGCTTCTCATGGGGTCATTATAACTTTTTTTTAGTAAGCATATTTCATATTCTTTCCCTAAATGGGTTATGTTGTCTACTCTGTGTTTAATCAAAGCTTCAATGCAGCCATCCATCCATTACTTATAGAGTACAGCTGTGCTTGGATTATTTTGAGAGCCATCAGAATTTAAATTAATTTGAAATAGAAGAGGTCTAAGAAATAGACGGGGCTCGACGGAGCTGCTTCCTCAGCATGTGCTGAATTACAGAGACTGAAAATGAGAGCATTATTGAAAAAAGAGACTTTGCCTTCAGGCTTGAGTGGGGCTGAAAAAGTAGATTAGGATGCCTATTACTTAATTTACATTATCCATTCAAATTTGGGGTTACAGGCTGGATTTCAATTTCCTTTTTATCTGGAACACATTTTGTGTAATAATAACCTGAAGTCATTTCTTCACACATTCTCGTTCTCTATATCTGCAACAGGAAACACTGATATGAAAAACACAGCAGCAAGTTCACTTGACTGCCCACAACTTCTCGATTGCAGACGCAGTCCTGGTTAGCTTGCCAGAATGAATGAGCGTTATTTTTACAATCCCCCATCTGCCACACCGCCAGACCAACTGAGGCATGCCGTGTGGAAATGAGTTCCTCCGTAATCAACCAGCCTGTCTTCTTCTTCTTGTGTGTTATAAATAAGGAGAAAGTAGTGATGGTGAGTATGGTGGTGGAGGCAGGTATTGAGATAAATACACTTTCTGTGCCTTGTTGCAAAATTTGGCATTAAAATCATTTAAAGAAAAAGCAAAACTCATTCACAGAGGGAAGAAAATCTTGGCCTGCATGCTCATTTAGTGAGTTAACATGTGAGGTCATCATGAGGAGTGCGATTGAGTAGGCGGTTTTCAACAGGCCCTAAGCTGCACGCAATATCATCTATCATACAGATCAAAGTGATGAAAGTGAAAAACAACATGTTGCATTAAAGCATGCTGGTGGCTTTTTCAATGTTATGACTCTATAGGCAGAGCAGCCAGAAAAAAATAAAGGCAGGGCAGTTTCTCATTCTCAGTCTCCTTTTAACGGCTGCGTTTTGCATGAAATACACAACCAGCTGCAGGGATTTCCTTGAAACAGACTGCAGGTGGATGCACCATCTTATTCATGCTGCAGATGCTTGAACCTTGAACATGAAGGGTGAGATGCAATGTGCCTTTGTGAGGCAACACAAACCATGTAATAGTTATTAGCTGAGGGGGAGTCAGGAATAAAAAAAAAAAAAAAAGGATTATACAGCATTACTTATGCTTTAATTAAATACAAACTGATCCGGTCCCTTCAGGGCTGTGAGTTCAGATGAAGAGAGGACGGAGTTCAATGGTCTCCTCTGAGGGAGGCATCCCGCTGACAGCAAACTTCACCTCACAGATTAGTAGAGCTGAAGTTGTAGGGAGCAGAGTTTGGCACAGTTTGGTGAGTGATGATGATGTAATAATATGTCAGTCAGGGTTCAGTCAGTAAAGCTTTCTTACACAATACAGCATTTTCTATGTGATTTTGACAATTAGGAAAATGTGTAGACCAAATATTTTACCTTTGTGCACATTCATTCATCTACCTCTTGGCCTCACATAGCCTAATGATGTTGGGAAAAGTAGTGATATTAGTAGTTTTAACAGATAAAACGTCTTTCAAACTAAAGGTTGTTTTGATTTCTTAATGTAATCACGTCTGTTCTGCATTTCTCATCAGGGATCATCTTTAATCATGATTAATCCAAATTTTAATCGCATGTTTGATATTCCATTATTTTGCATTTAAAAATAGTTTTTGTGAGGCTTTTATTTTGAATGTCCTGTCTTAAGCTGAGTAATTCACTTACTGTTTGCTTTTATTTTGAAATAAAGTGATAGATGGAAAGTTAGAACATAGTAAAACACGTAGTATTGTCATAACAATGTCATTATGAATTATAAAAACGATAAAAGTAGGCCGATATACATTGGACTTCTTATGACACTATATCACACATTTCATATTCACACATGTAGAATGACAAAATGCATCTAAATCTTCCATGGAATTTCAAATAAAATACAAAAAAACTGTAAACAACTGTTTTTTTTTTTGTTTTTTTTAACAGAACAATAAAGATTGTTGGAATAATCTGTGACCAACTCAGATTTTATTTAGCCTATTTATTTTCCTCCTGTAGACATTGATATTACTTGTTTGAATCTTTATTTTATTTATGTTTCTGACGTCATACTATTTTGTCTCAATTACACTGTTGGAATATGAGGGACAAAAAATGACTAAAGTATAAATCAATAAATGTTGGGAGAAATGCATACAATAATGTATAAATAAATAAATAATTAAATAAATGCATCAATAAATATATAAAAAAATATATAAATGCTGAAAACAATACATCAATGAATAAATAATAAATACACTTTATTAATGAAAAAGGCTATTTATATATTTGTACATGTATTTATTCATTTATTAGTGTATTCCAACAATTATATATGTATCAATGAACACATTTCCACATTAATTGAGTTATTAATTAATTTCCGTATTTTTACATTTACACATCTATTTATTTCTGTGTCCAGGTCGTAAGAGGAAAAGTATTTATGTAAATTTGCTTCTGTCTGTTTTTAAAAATTGGACAATCCTACTTCAGTAATCTTAGGACGGCCCACTTAACTTACATATTTACTTTTCCTTGCACAACATGGACACAGAAATACATAAATAAATATATGAATATATTTATTTATATATTAGTTTTTTTTATGAATTGTTGCATTTATTCATATATATATTTATTTATATATTTATTGATGCATTTATTTAATTACTTATTTATTTATACATTATTGTATGCATTTCTCCCAACATTTATTTATTTATTCCTTTATTTATACTTCAGTCATTTTTTGTCCCTCATATTGGAGAACGTGACTTGGGTTGGGTGGGAAACTACAAGAATTTTAGATTTCACTTTCACTGTGACGCAGACTCGTTTATCGCTGGTAAGTGACACTTTTTAACTTCTTTACAAACTCCCTCCTAGTATTACTTCGATGTAAAAAATAACTGTAAAGGAACAACCTGTTTCTAGGTTCATTGGCTTCTTTTTTAAACCACGATAACAGGACTGCTTTGTGCTTCCGTTTCAAAAAACGAAAGTAACGCCAGACCTCGCGTTGTTTTGAGCTGCTTGTTTTTAAACCACAGACGACATTACAGTTTGTACAGTCATGGAGGCTGCCTGGTCTTTACGCAGCAGTGTTTGTCAGAGGAGGGAACTGATGGAAGAATCCAAACAGTGAAATGTTGGAGCTGCAGCTCTGACACATGGCACATAGGTTTAATCAGCTTGACCGTTATCTTTTTTTTGTCGTGCGTCGAAAACAAATCACGTTTGGGAGTATCAGGGCACTTGGACTACGTCAGAGGACGAGAACGGAAAGAGACGAGAGTTCAGGCAAATAATAGTGAGTAGTATTTTTTTTCTATCATTTTGTTTTATCAGTGTGTCTAGTTAAGGCTGAAAAACAAAGCTTGTGTCAAGCTGTGGGCATTTTTCTTTAATAAAAGTTGCAAACACGTGAAGATGGACGAGTTCTGACCGATTCATTTCAAGGGTTCAACATATACAATTATATTTAAAAGCTATTTTGTGAGTTTGCTGAATTTACCCTAACCGACCTGCAAAAACTGACTTAGATTAGGAAAAACGTGCAGCAAATTCAGAAACTGTATTAATTCCAAAGCAACAGTTTACTGTAAATGTGCTGCAAATGAAAGATACATATGTATACATATGGACAGAGCAGCAGATGTGAAGTGATAAAAAACAAAAAAAACCGTTTAATGCTTACTGACAGGACTGGGCTAGTTAAGAACTTTTTAATATATGTGGATATATTTTATTCATGAGATTAAGGGTAAAGCAATCGTGATTCCCAAACTGGGGCCCGATACAGGGATAGATACTTTATGAATCCTTTGCAGGAAATTACACCGTCACAGCAGCTGCAATCACAGTCAAGACATTATATAAATAACATTTAGGCACATCAGGCAGGATTTCTCAGAATGGACTTCAGTTTTAAAAGTCTTCTTGTCTCTGTTACAGACAAGGCCCAGCAAGGTTAAAAATAAACAATGAGTGCGTTTACGTGGACTGGAGTATCCCGAGCTTAGAAATATTTTCATCTGCTTAAAGGGGGTCCCACACAGAAGTAGTTTGGGAACCGCTGGTTAATATCACTAAAGTTTATGTTGTGTTAAAATAACATCTGAAAGGGGAAGGGGAACGCAAGTTGCAACTTGTTGGTCAAAAACTATTTTATCAAAATGAACAATAGAAAAAAAGAAACTGTCGCCCCCTGGTGGTCCATGTGGGTACTGCAGATGGGCCCAGAAAAGCCCTCCACCAAGTACAAATTAATATCACGATAATGATGATTTACCATGAGTCAACCCTTTAAGTGATCACATAACATTTTACTATCTGTTTAGTAAACTTTCTTGTCTATCTTGCCATAATATAATGTTCTCAATAATTTACCCTTACTGAAAGTGATAGCTGTAGTCATAACTTTTATTTAATAACGGGCCCTGGAGTAATTTTGTATTTTAAAGTGGACAGACGGTATTTAAGCCAAGGACTCCCTTTATAAAGATTAGTGAAAAGTTAGTTTGATAAAAACGTTATCATATATCTGCATGTTTCATTGTTTGTATCAGGATACAGATGCAGAGGCCAGACTCTCCTGGACCCAGCGATGTGTCCTTGAAGAGAACTGATTCTAAAGACATCTTTAACTTTAAAGATGAAAGGTATGAATTGAAAACTGAAGTATATTATCTGTCTCTGTTGAGAAAGGACTGCTTCAAGGATGCTGTGATGTCTAATCCCTCAGACTTTTTAAAAGATCATTGTCATGTGGTCCTCATTGAGCTGCTCATTCTGCCCCGTCTTGGTGACCCCTGGATGTATCTACATGAAGATCTGTGTGTAGCTAGCTGAAGTCCTTATTATATACTATATATATATATATATATATATATATATATATATATATACACTATATATATATATAAGTCCTCTTTTGTTCTCTTTTGATTAATCAGCCTAAAGGATCTGAGAACAGACGGTGTCCACCTTGTTTTGGGTGGTAACTGTTCTTATAGAAACATGGAGAAGGGTGAAGGTCTTCAGCTCTGCCTCCTGACGGTCTGATTAAAAGTCATCTTAGTTGTGAATGCTTTCATCAATCAGCTGTTTGTTCATGTCAGGATGCAGGATCACAGACCAGACTCTCCTGGACCCAGCTGTGTGTCCATGATCAGTGAAGGCTGTAAAGCTCTTTCCAAAGATGGAAGGTAAGCTCTGAAAACTGAAGCTTGTTATCATCTTACATTCCTAAAATAAATACGCCATGGACAGAGAGAGCACGAGCAGAGTGACTCGATTGTTAACATGCTAACGTTAGCATGGCTAATCATTAGGGACCTTGCTCCATAGTTTGATGATATTAGCATATTATGAGGCTGAGGACTCCCTTTGTAGAGATGAGTGAAAAGTGAGTCTAATTAAAAAGTCGTCATAGTTCTGCATGTTTTATTAATCAGTGGTTTCATTGTTCGTATCAGGAAACAGATGCAGACACCAGACTCTCCTGGACCCAGCTGTGTGTCCTTCAAGAGTAATGATTCTAAAGACATCTTGACTGACTTTAAAGATGAAAGGTAAGAACTGAAAACTGAAGTATATTATCTGTCTCTGTTGAGAAATGATGCAAGTTTTAGCCCAGAGCTTCATGGGATGCTGTTAACTGTTAAACCTTTTTCAAGATCTTTGTCATGTGGTCCCTCTTGCTGAGGTGCGATATTTGCCCCCTCTTAAGCCCGACATAAATTTTGCTATTGTGTAAAAGTCGTGGCAGTATGTCAGCTCACACTGTACGACGGACTTTTTAAATGCTTTATATGCGATTTTTTCATCCAGCAGATGTCGCCCTTGAGCACCAGCATGAAACCAAAACAACTCGCACTGCATTGTTTAAAACTGTTGAGCGACACATGCTAGTGTCAGTTTGGTTTTCACCATTTTAGCCATTTTTATAAATCCTTCATCTGTCTATACTGCGACTAAACCATTCAGACAGCAATACAAAAACAACGTACAATGTTAAGTGTACAAAGTTAAAGGCTTTATATGCGATGTTTTGATCCAGCAGATGTCGCCCTTGAGCACCAGCACGAAACCAAAACAACTCGCGGTGCATTGTTGCGTTAGCATGCTAATGCTAGCGATCTTTATTATGCTGGTATCTTCACACTGCATGTAAATTTACCTGAAATGAGCGTGATCTAGAAACACAGTTAAGCAGTGAGTACAGTATGTTATTCTTCTTTTCTCTAGTCCATCAATTAAACAACTTTTATACGCGAGGGGAGGAGTCAGCCGGCCGTCCCGGCGATGTAAACAAAGTGAAGATAGGACTCTGAAAACTCTGAAAACATCACAGACAGTGGGACTCGGGTGTTACACCCATTGTAGACAGTCATGACTCACAGAGTTATTTTCAGAGGATAGACTTGATTTATATTACATTTAAGTGTGAAAAATCACATATAAAGCTTTTAAGGATGCATGACCAAAGCTCATGATTAATGTGCTCACACTCTACCAACTGATTGTTGAGTAAGTGTCAAAAGTTAACTCCCATGGACAGGGCTTAATTTTGGTTGTCCTACTACTATGAGGAAACTTGGCCAGTCTTTTATTTTAGAATTCAGGGAAAGTGAATCTCGATGGACATTTGTCCTCTTATCAAATAATGTAGAATCCATTTAAAACACCTCTTCTCGCTGCCTTTGCACTGTAAGGTAACGGTAAGCATTTTTAAATACTCTAATAAACCCCAACAGCTAAGATTGTAGCTGGAGCATATCTCAATAAAGTGACTAGTGGGCTGTTTGGTCCACAGCTGGTACTCGTGGTAAACCCTGGACAGAGTGACTCTGAAGTGATAACGTTTGTTAGCATGCTAACGTTAGCATGGCTAAGCATTAGCGACCTTGCTCCATAAGTACTCCTTTTAAAAGATGAGTGAAAAGTGACTCTAATAAAAAAAAAGTCTTCATAGTTCTGCATGTTTTATTAATCAGTGGTTTCATTGTTCGTATCAGGAAACAGATGCAGAGGCCAGACTCTCCTGGACCCAGCTGTGTGTCCTTCAAGAGTGATGATTCTAAAGACATCTTTACTAACTTTAAAGATGAAAGGTAAGAACTGAAAACTGAAGTGTATTATCTGTCTCTTATGAGAGAAGTTTTGGCCCAGTTATCCCTTAGTCCTTTAAAGATCAAGTATTGTGTTCTGTACGGTGTCCACCTGTTTTGGGTGGTAACTGTTCTTATAGAAACATGGAGAAGGGTGAAGGTCTTTAGCTCTGCCTCCTGACGGTCTGATTAAAAGTCATCTTAGTTGTGAATGCTTTCATTAATCAGCTGTTTGTTTGTATCAGTATGATGCAGACACCAGAGTCTCCTGGACCCAGCTGTGTGTCCTTCAAGAGTGATGATTCTAAAGACATCTTGACTAACTTTCAAGACAAAAGGTAAGAATTGAAAAACTGAAGTGTATTATCTGTCTCTGTTCAGAAAAGATGCAAGTTTTAGCCCAGAGCTTCATGGGATGCTGTCATCTGTTAAACCTTAGTTTTTTCAACATCATTGTCATGTGGTCCCTCTTGCTGAGGCGGTCTCTTAAACCCAGCGTACATTGTGTTATTCTTTAGGGTGAAGGTCTTCAGCTCTGAGTCCTGACTACCAATTTTCTATCTGAAACCTTAAACATGTGTCAGTCTGATTAAAAGTCATCTAAGTTGTGAATGCTTTCATTAATCAGCTGTTTGTTTGTATCAGTATAATGAAGACACCAGACTCTCCTGGACCCAGCTGTGTGTCCTTCAAGAGTGATGATTCTAAAGACATGGATATTAACTTTAAAGATGAAAGGTAAGAATTGAAAATTGAAGTGTATTATCTGTCTCTTATGAGAGAAGATGCAAGTTTTGGCCCAGTTATCCCTTAGTCTTTTGAAGATCAAGTATTGTGATAGTATTCTTATTCTTTTGAAACCACCTACATTCATGCCCTTCATTTTGTTTTCATGCTAGAGCATATTCAGTAAGCTGTGTCATTATTGGCCCTTTTCCCACAGAGTTCAACAGGAGAGCACCGAGGCTCCCCAGTCGGCCCAGTGGTCTCAAAAAGACCTGGACTCCACATTTGAGGTATGTAGAAAAAATTGTGTTTTCCATTGAACTAAAACTAACCAAGCGATGAACGCTACATCAGGATTCTGTTTCGACCAGCTAAAAGGTGTATACCAGTTTTATATTAAGTTTTTTTTCATTCTGTTCCAGCCGCTGAAGAAGAACATCCACAGGTATGTGGAGAATGAGCTACAGAGAATCCTGAGGGTTTTAAGTCCAGATTATCAAGCAGGCGTGGAGAGTGAGAATGAGGATGAAGATCAGATGGATATCAGAGATGTAACGCTGAAGCTCACTCTGCACTTCTTGAGAAGAGCTAAGCAGGGGGAGATGGCTGACTATCTGCATAACAGTAAGAGGATTTCAACTGATTCAAATTGATGGAATAGGGAAATGGAGATTTACTTACCAAACTTTTATGTTTTGTATAATGTAACACTGATGAACTGGATACAGAATGATAAGAAGGAAAACTCTCAACTCGTTGATTTCATTCTTTTATTTTTATTTTTCCAGGGACGGTCACTGCAGTGTGCCAACAAAAACTCAAGTCTAACCTGAAGAAGAAGTTCCGTTGTGTGTGTGATGGGATTGCTAGAGAAGGAATCCACACCCACCTGAACGACATCTACACAGAGCTCTACATCACAGAGGGAGGGACTGGAGAGGTCAATGATGAACACGAGGTCAGGCAGATTGAAACGTCAAACATGAAACCACACAGACCTGAAAAAACCATCAAACAAGAAGACATCTTTAAAGCTTCACCTGAAAGACAGGAACCAATCAGAACGGTGATGACAAAGGGAGTGGCTGGCATTGGGAAAACAGTCGTAACGCAGAAGTTCAGTCTGGACTGGGCTGAAGGAAAGGCCAACCAGGACATACAGTTCACGTTTCCGTTTACTTTCAAGGAGCTGAATGTGCTGAAAGAGAAACAGTTCACATTGGTGGAGCTCGTTCATCTGTTGTTTCCTGAAACCAAAGAAGCAGGAATCTGCAAGTTTGAAGAATTCCAGGTTGTGTTCATCTTCGACGGTCTGGATGAGTGCCGACTTCCTCTGGACTTTAAAAACAACGAGATCCTGACTGATGTCACAAAGTCCGCCTCAGTGGATGTGCTGCTGACAAACCTCATCAGGGGAAACTGCTTCCCTCTGCTCGCCTCTGGATAACCACACGACCTGCAGCAGCCAATCAGATCCCTCCTGACTGTGTGGACATGGTGACAGAGGTCAGAGGTTTCACTGACCCACAGAAGGAGGAGTACTTCATGAAGAGGTTCCAAAATGAGGAACAATGCAGCGCTATTATCTCCCACATCAAGACATCGCGAAGCCTCAACATCATGTGCCACATCCCGGTCTTCTGCTGGATCATTGCTTCAGTTCTGGAGGATGTGCTGAAGACCAGAGAGAGAGGAGAGGGAGGAGAGGGAGGAGAGCTGCCCAAGACCCTGACTGAGATGTACATCCACTTCCTGGTGGTTACATTCAAACTGAAGAACATAAAGTATGGTGGAGGAGATGAGACGGATTCACACTGGAATCCAGAGAACAGGAAGATGATCGAGTCTCTGGGGAAACTCGCTTTTGAGCAGCTGATGAAAGACAAGTTGATCTTCTATGACTCGGACCTGACAGAGTGTGGCATCGATATCGGTGCAGCCTCGAAGTACTCGGGAGTGTTCACGCAGATCTTCAAAGAGGAAAGAGGACTGTACCCGGACAAGGTGTTCTGCTTCGTCCATCTGAGCGTTCAGGAGTTTCTCGCTGCTCTTCATGTCCATCTGACGTTCACCAGCTCCGGAGTCAACCTGCTGTCAAAAGAACAAAAAACATCCAGGTGGTCCTTTAAGAGGGGAAACAAATCAACACTTTTCTATCAGTCTGCCATCGACCTGGCCTTACAGAGTCCAAATGGACAACTGGACTTGTTCCTGCGCTTCCTCCTCGGCCTTTCCCTGGAAACCAATCAGAAGTACATGCAAGTTCAGCCGACACCAATAAGAGAGAACTCGCGGACTAAAAAGAAAACGGTTCAGTACATCAAGAAAAAAATCCGTGCTAATCTGCCTGCAGAGAAAAGCATCAGTCTGTTCCACTGTCTGAATGAACTGCAGGATAGTTCTCTAGTGGAGGAGATTCAGGAGTCCCTGAGATCAGGAAATCTCTCCACAGATAAACTGTCTCATGCTCAGTGGTCAGCTCTGGTCTTTATCTTACTGTCATCAGAAAAAGATCTGGACGTGTTCGACCTGAAGAAATACTCTGCTTCAGAGACGGCTCTTCTGAGGCTGCTGCCAGTGATCAAGGCGTCCAACAGGGCTCTGTACGTGCACACATAACCATCCAGGTTAAATACAGTTTGTTCTGTTTTCAGATTGTTGGTAATTCATGTGCTTCTGATTCCTCTTTAGGTTGAGTAGCTGTAAACTGTCAGAGAGAAGCTGTGAAGCTCTGTCTTCCATCCTCAGCTCTGAGTCCTCTCGTCTGAGAGAGCTGGACCTGAGCAACAACAACCTGCAGGATTCAGGAGTAAAACTTCTGTGTGATGGACTACAGAGTCAGAACTGTAAACTAGAGACTCTCAGGTCAGTGTGCAATGACCCTCTAAGATCTTCTTTCCTCATATATCAGTATTTAAACGAACAGTTAAAGTCTTTATATGTGATTTTCCACACTTAAATGTAGAAATCAAGTATATCCTCTGAAAATAACTCAGAGGATATAACTCATACAATGGGTGTAACACCCGAGTCCCACTGTCTGTGATATTTTCAGAGTTTTCCGAGTCCTATCTTCAGTTTGTTTACATCGCCGGGACGGCCGGCTGACTCCTCCCCTCGTGTATAAAAGTTGTTTAATTGAGGGACTAGAGAAAAGAAGAATAACATACTGTACTCACTGCTTAACTGTGTTTCTAGATCACGCTCATTTCAGGTAAATTTACATGCAGTGTGAAGATACCAGCATAATAAAGATCGCTAGCATTAGCATGCTAATACAACAATGCACCGCAAGTTGTTTTGGTTTCATGCTGGTGCTCAAGGGGCGACATCTGCTGGATCAAAAAATCACATATAAAGCCTTTAAAGCCCCTGGAACTTAAATCAACAAAAAGCTTCTAACTATGTTACTTAGGATCTTATGAACAAAATATGAATTCTCTAAAAGGATGAGAAGTTACTTTTTTGAGATTTTGTCGTTTCAGTTTCTGAACATTTTTTGAAATTGGGTGGAAAGTGGGCGGGGTTAGCTCAGAGATTTATTGCACAATCAATTTCAAACCAATAATAAAAAACATACACGCCCAATCAAGTGCAGCAAAGCTACTCTGCTCCACCGCTCAACCTTCATGCCTGTGGGAGCCGTTTCTAGTTGCACGTCCTCTGAGGAGGTCATGTGGTTGATTTGGAAATACAGAGGGCAGTGTTTAGGTGAGACGTGCCAGAGTCGTGCAAAGGCACTCCCTCTTTCCCCCCCAAGACCAGTAAACCAGTTTTGTCCAGAAAGCTCCTGCTTTGCAAAAACAGCTTCATCTTACACCCAGAGCGATGTCCTGTCGCCTGGCACTTTATCCTCCCTGTGCCTGCCCACTGAAAGCCAACAGTTCGGCTAGAGTCACACCGCCCAACTCCGCTGCACAATCGTGGTCTTCAATTCAACTTTCTATTCAAACAAACCAACATAGAATATCACTGTTTTCTTTATGTGGATGATTTTGACATAACGAGGGACAAAAGCTGTTTAAAAAGTTGTGCTGCTAGCTCCATTAGCATAGCTACATATCCCAGAATGCGTTGAGCAGGGAGTCGGACGGTTGAAATAATTTCATGTCTCTTGTAATGCTCCTAATGTTCCTCATTTTCTATTTTTTCACTGTGTGTTGTGTAGTGTGTCAGGTTGTCTGATCACAGAGGAAGGCTGTGCTTCTCTGGCCTCAGCTCTGAACTCCTCCAACCTGAGAGAGCTGGACCTGAGCTACAATCATCCTGGAGAACCAGGAAAGGAGCGGCTGTCTGCTCGACTGAAGGATCCAAACTGCAGACTGGAGAAGCTGAGGTACAGACGGAGAAACAGACAGACAACAAGACAAACAGAGAAACAGACAGACAGATTAACTCTGGCTTTTATTTGATGGTGGGTCTGAGTGAAGATGTATTAACTAGATTGTCTTCTGGTTTCTTCCTCCAGTTTGGACCATGATGGACCGCAGAGACTGAAACGTGATGTGAGGAAATGTGAGTGTTATAAGTTTGATTAATGAACACGTTTTATTTCATTTCATCTTATTTTGATGTTATGTAACTAGAGGTTTACTGTGTTTGTGCGCAAGAGGGCGCTGCAGCACCAACTTCATCAGACTTCTCACACTTCGCCATTTTATTTGTTTGACTTTTGTGCATGCAGAGCGCTCTGTGCTCTCATAAGTCATGACAGCGATGTGACCGAACGTATCATAGAAGGAAAATCAAACGTGCTAAGCCTTCTGTCAGGAGGTTGTAAAGCTTACTAGATGTGGTGTTTGTGGTTGTTCACTATCGCCATTTTTACATGTGAACTCCTGAAAATATGTAGAACAGACAACGTAATGCAGCTGTTTAATGACATGCTCTGAGATCGTAGCAGTTGCATGCATACACTCTACTGGCTCCAGTCAACAGTATGTAAACGTCACCCTCCACTCCATTGGCTCGAGGTGAATTCTCCGGAGAATATCCTGCTGCGTTCTCACATCAGCCCACTCGGACTTGGTGCAGAAATAATATTGGGGTCAGGCAGGAGAAACTCCAGGGAAAGTCAGTGAAAAATTCATCTTCACACATGCAGCTCCTCCTGGAAATATCAGAGAGTTTTTCAGGAGTTTTCTGCAAGTGTGAAAGCCCTATATGAGACACACTACACTGGATAAAACGATTGATTTTCATCTGTTGGATTGGTCTTATAGCATGTGGTCTTACCTTAAAAAGAATATTGATTATTGTGATTGAATACAATCAATAAATCACAAAGCCTAAAATGAAATAGATTGTTTAAACTCATTTTCTAGTCTTTTTTATCATCTAAAATACAAACACACAGTTAAATCAGGATAAAGATTCTGTTTTTGTCCCTTTTTAGACGCTTGTGAACTGGAACTGGACACAAACACAGTGTACAAGTTCCTCAAACTGTCTGACAACAACAGAAAGGTGACGCGTGTGTTGGAGGAAGAGCGGTATCCTGATCACCCCGACAGGTTTGAACACTGGCCTCAGCTGCTGTGCGGGGCCGGTGTGACCGCTCAGTGTTACTGGGAAGTCGAGCTGAGCGGACGAGTTCTTGTATCGATGACTTACAGAGGAATTACAAGGAGAGGATTCAGTAATGAATGTGCGTTCGGATGGAACGATCACTCCTGGAGTATGATCTGCCATGACCGTGGTTACATCGTCAGACACAACAACAAAGAATCAAAGATCCCCTCCTCCTCCGTCTCTAACAGAGTAGGAGTGTATGTGGACTATCCTGCAGGCACTCTGTCCTTCTACAGAGTCTCCTCTGACACACTGATCCACCTCCACACCTTCAACACCACATTCACTGAACCTCTTTATCCCGGTGTCGCACCCTGGTCAGTAGGCTCCTCCGCATCCCTGTGTCCTGTATCGTATTGAGGCTATCTCTCCATTAGCTACATGTGTACAGTGAATGACAGACGGAAGTGGATAATTATCTTAACTCCCTGTAATGCAGAATAGGAAATGTAAAAGCTCTCGTTACTTTAAGTGTAATAGCCGACGACTACATGAGATCGGAATCAGAATCGGAGTTTATTGCCAAGTAAATTTACACATACAAGAAATTTGACTTGGTGTATTGGTGCTAAACAATTAACAAGGAAATAAAGCAGAACTAACAACAACTTCAATAATACAGTATAAGAAGCTATTACAATATATAAAATACAATTTAAAAATGTCAAATATAAAAAACAACAATGTAGGAGCTGTGCAGTGGACTATGAGAAAAACAATTTCAGTGTGTGTAACTCCAGTGGGCGTTAATGTAACGCATTCACAGTTTCAGCATTCACATTACTCAAGATCAAGGTTTATTGACGTCCATTCGACAGGCGAGGTTATGCTAACGCTAGCAAAATAGTGTCTTGGGAAGAGAGAATGTCACGTGCAGTAAACACACACGCAGGCTGATGACCGTTCAGGTGTGAGCTTTTCCATCTTGGAGATATCAACATTAGTTTCCCCTGCTTGAGATAAACAACACGCTGTCAGAGAGCCCGCTGCTGAGACTAAAGCTCTGTTACATTATTTATTAGTGACATACCTATGTGTTAATGGCTACAATGTTGAATTAAATCTGTGAGTAATTGCCTCTCACTGCCACAGCAACACTAAGAAACGTTATCATTGGTAGGAGTATTGATGCAAAAAGAAAGTTATGATGGTTCATTTTCCAATGCAGTAACTTGCATATCACTCCGTTTGCAAACAAAGTTCCCTTTAATGTCTGTGTGTTCATGTAGGTTTATTATTTTACACAGGAAGAAAAACGTAAGGAACATAAAGTAAATGTAAAATGTGTGGGTGTGGGAGAAGTTTACATAAAGCTTGTATGAAAACTAAATCCAGACGACTTTAAAAAGGTAACACAAAACTAACTGGATATCGGACATCACATAGAAAGTAGAGCGAGGCGATGCAGTATCGGCTAATTTTATCACAGGTATCTGCTGATATTTCTAGATTTATCCACAAGTTAAATAGCATCTCATTTGAGTATTGTATTACACTAGCCGTACTCTTTCACCAGCAGAGGGCGCTATATGGATGACAACAAGCAGTATCACTCTCCAGAGATATGTGTAGTTACTTTCCAGTTGAGTGACCATCTTGTGTTCATTATAAATCTTTTCCACAAGAGTTTGATAACCGCATTTGAGGGATCCAAAAAAAACGTGTGTTTATCTATATCTATCTATCTCTACAGATTAAACATAGATCTAAGGAGGATATCGCCCGATATATCAATATTGGATTCTTTTCTCTTCCCATCATTGGTATCGACCCCAAAAATTCCATATCAGTCGGGCAGGAAGTGAATATAAACGAGCGAAAAGGGAAAAAAACATTGACAAACATTTTTTTATGGTTACTGTTCCAATTTATATTTTTGTCATCGAAGAGTTTCTACATCTGTTTTTGTACACATTTAAAGACGAAGAGATTAAATTTGCATATGTATTCCATAAGATAACTTTATTATTGTGAAACTTTGAATATTGACAAAATCATTTCTCAAACAAACAGGTAGATCAGAATGTTTTACACAACTTTAAGGACAAATGTATATATTTAAAAAGTGTCAAAAACAGTCAACAACTAAACGTGACTGAAGTTGTCTACTGTCCTGGCATCGATAATGCCAAAGATTTACGTTACCTACAAGATATTGAACTAACTCACACTTCTGCCTTATATGTTTACAGTCAGCATTGTGCAATGAATAACTATATATTCATCAAGGCTTATAGTTAAGTTAACTATTAAAACAAAACTGACATGTTTTTGAACATAATGGATGTATTGTATTTTAGTTTATTATTTTGAGACCAGTTAGAGCCTCTATTGCAATGAATGAAGTCATACCAGACTGATGTATCTGTAACCAAAGCAAGACTGAGTGAATTTAATTGCACAAATAAATGTATGTTAACAGATGTGAACCACACCTTGTAATGTTTTGAGCATGTTCATTCGTCTTTACCGGTTTTTTTTCTTCACAAATTATTCTGTGTTTTGAAGTTTCTCAACAGTATTTGTGTTTTCAAACGTCTGAGTTGTCCGATCCCATTTCATTTCTCGATATGGGTTTTTAACAATAAAGCCATTTAACATCATCTGTGGGTGCTTTTATTGTGAAGAAGTTGATGAAACCACAATATATTTATCATCAAATTAAAGGAGCCTTACTAGAGCTACAATTAGTAGTGATTTGAAATAACACTGTCGGGAGTGAGAGTATTTACAGCCGCTCCTTTGACTTCTTTTAATGATATTGGACTTAAAAAAAAGTGGGTGAAGTAGTCAGTGAAGTATGTATCAGTTAACAAAGAACTTCTTTTCAAAAAGCCTGATATCTTCTGATTGGTCATGGTTGGTAACTTTATAGTGCAGACTCGCAGGCTGCACCGCTCAAGTCTGCACGGGCCCCAGCAGAGGGCGCTCATGTTACACAAAGCATCAGTCCCAGTGGATACTCATTGGAATAAATTCTAAACAGTATTTACACTATTGAAATAGTAAAAGAAGGACATACTATGTCATGTGACGGCAGGTGGAATCATTAACTCTGTTACACAGGAATGGGGATTGCATGGATTTTGGAACTTGTGCTTTCAGGAGCTACTGGTCTAAATACTTTCCGCAGTAGCTGCTGGTTTCTCTGCATAGAGGCAATGGTCATCACTGCATGATGTAAGTGGTTCAGTAATGTCCTGTTTCAATAATGAATCTACCGGCTGGATACAGGAAGAGAATCTAAGCGTGTACAGGGTAAAAATAACAAAACAAAGATCACAAAGTGATGTCTTTCCCAATTTATAGGCAACACAATATCTAAATCAAAGAAATGCAAATACTCTCTAAGTTAAAAAGGCCACCTAGGAAAACCTCTAGCTTGCTTAAAATCAATGAGATGGGGCGATTGTAAACTGGGATCAATAAGCCCCTCAAGACAGTGGAACAATAATGACCTTGTTTACCAGAAACAGTGAAGATGGCGTTGGCAAGAAGGGGTTTAAGTTTTACACTGTTTCATTTAGAAGGATTTTAAGCATTGGAAAAATAGAAACACAAGATAAGAGTATTTGTAAAAAGAATATTTTATTGACTATTTTATTTCAGTTTGTGCATTAGAACTTTACAAAGACAATGAAAGGCATTTTGACCACGTATTAAAAAAACACTTGCTGCTCCCAACAGAGAGTACGTTTGAGGTTGCTGGTTAGTAGTCCATGCATAGAAATATTTATTGATGTATATATTTACATACAAGACCATGTTTCATTGCCTATGGCTGCATACTATTTTTCAGGTTGATGCAGTAAGTAAATACTTAAAAAATAGAATACAGGTAATAGAATAGAATAGCCATGGTCTGAATGCTCCCCATGAGGTCATGAGGTAAACTGTAGTTACGATGTAGGTTCAGGGAAGTAGATAAGACATATATATTTCAAAGTTGCTCAACACACTCAATCATGTAAAACCATATTCATTAAAGATAAACTTTAACTTTATGAATTGTAATTTCTATTGTATCATGAAAAAACTTAAAAGAAAAGACAATGAATATCAAAGTTTAAAGCAAGTTAAAACTTCCAAAGGGCATTCCTTCTAAAATCATTTGATCTTTCATTCAGGCACATATCTTTGATAGTGTCAACACAAAGTCATGAGACTTTATCATTAAATGTCAGACTTCAGGGTCCTATAGAAGCAGTGCAGAAAGACTAAATGTTGTGAACTGAGGTTATAGCAGCTGTCCCTTGGCCTTATTCTGCTGCTACATCTTGGGGTCCTCACACAGTTTACAGTCAGGCTTCTGGTCCGACTGTCGCTCCATTTGTATTGTAACACTGTGGAAGTTGTAGGAGGAAAAGCAAGCCTGTGTTATTTCTCTTTGGACAGTCTGAGCATCCGCTGACTCGTCTGTGGAGCAGAGAGGAAGACATAGAAAAAGGAAATAAAAATGTTAGTCACCTTGTGTGTTCATATTAAATATATCATTAAATATTTGTCTGTCTCAATAACCGCTTTAGAATACAATGTTTTTTTTAAGATTTATTTTTGGGCTTTTTTGTGCCTTTAATGGAGAGATAGGACAGTGGATAGAGTCGGAAATCAGGGAGAGAGAGAGGGGAATGACATGCAGGAAAGGAGCCACAGATGGGATGCAAACCCGGGCCGCCTGCCTGAGACGACAGCCTCCATACAAGGGGCGCGTGCACGAACCACTGCGCCACCAGCACCCCTAGAATACAATGTTTTTAAAAGACTAGAAAGGGGGGGTGCTGTTGGCGCAGTGGTTGGTGCGCGCACCCCATGTATGGAGGCCATGGTCCTCCAAGCGGCCCCCCCCAGGTTCGAATCCCACATGTGGCTCTTTTCCTGCATGTCATTCCTTACTCTCTCTCTACCTGATTTCCAACTCTATCCACCCTCCATTAAAGGCACAAAAAGCCCCAAAATAAATCTTAAAATAAAAAAAAATAATAATTCTAATTCATAGTCTGTAAAGAAAAAGTCTTTACACTCAATACACCAGTAAAGTTGTTGAATTAATGCAACATGAAGAGGTAACCTTTTGGACCATGTGTAAAAGCAGGAAACATTCAAAGTTTCTATCATTCACAAAAGGTGTTCCACAAGGGTCAGTTCTGGGCCTTGTCTTGTCTTATATCAATGATATTGTTTCCAATATACCTGTTCTTTTTTTTTGATTCACTAAATGGTAAATGGACTTAAAGGCTTTATATGTGATATTTTGATCCAGCAGATGTCGCCCTTGAGCACCAGCATGAAACCAAAACAACTCTTGGTGCATTGTTGTGTTAGCATGCTAATGCTAGTGATCTTTATTATGCTCGTATCTTCACACTGCATGTAAATTTACCTGAAATGAGCGTGATCTAGAAACACAGTTAAGCAGTGAGTACAGTATGTTATTCTTCTTTTCTCTAGTCCCTCAATTAAACAACTTTTATACACGAGGGGAGGAGTCAGCCGGCCGTCCTGGCGATGTAAACAAAGTGAAGATAGGACTCTGAAAACTCTGAAAGCATCACAGACAGTGGGACTCGGGTGTTACACCCATTGTAGACAGTCATGACTCACAGAGTTATTTTCAGAGGATATAC